TTATTTTGTATCATGATAGAAAGGTTAATTTGCTCACTAGCCAAAAAATAATAATAATTAGGGATCTAACAAAAATTAACATATGTGGCCTAATTATATCCATTTGATTTAGGTTAAATGATTAGATTTTTTTATTATAGATATTTTTTGGGTTATTCAACCCAATTTCCCATGATAGAATTGGATTATTAAAAAAAGCGAACAAACAAAAAAATCCAGTATCTACTACATACGACTAGGACAATGTATTGATCCCCATGCAATTTATTTACCATACATCTTTGTATTTTACTATAATCATTGTATTGTACACGATAGGTAGGCTTAGATTCATAAAACAAACAATTAATGTCTAGAAAAGCATATGCAATTATAATGTCAAATTAAAAAATTATAGCATAATTATATAATAGTTCAAGATTTTGCAAACAATAAAAAAAAAATATTGTAATATAAAAATATAAAAGATTTCAAACATTATTTGTTTATGGATCAAATAAAAATTTATAATTTAAAATCGAATTGAATATTAACTACCTGATGAATAGCAATACCAATGTTCCTTTCTCCTTCAGGAGCTTGAGGTAAAGGCCCAAATAGTGGATCAGTTTTCGACACTTGAACAAAACCAGGACATCGATAACAACCTACTCCATTGGCACCCTGCCATTGATTAGTTATAAATATATATCAACATAATGATTGTGATAAATAAATAGTTTACAAATACATGTACAAAAAATTACATGTAAGTGAAACGTATATACTACTAAAAACAAGTTAGTAAACATATAAGATGCTATAACAAAATTAAGATGGGTTTAGGTGATATTTTGTATTGTGGTTATTATTGAGATGGTAATAAAAAGTTAATGTATCAATATACCTTCCAAAATCCATAACTCCATGAACGGCTATCACCAAATAAACTTGGATTTATCTATGAATCAAACAAATACATTTTACTTTAAAAACCACTTTATTTACTAAAAATAATTATATCATAAAAAGGTAAAAATATCATTAACATTAAATTTACCATCCAACCGGTTTGGATAGAATTAACTTTGTTGTTAATTGCACTGCCTACATAAATACGAGCAAATGAAGCTTGGTCTCCACTAATGTTCAAGTCATGCACACTTATCCATGATGCTATACCACGGTAAGGACGTTGATCTTGTAATTTAACATCTGCGATCTTTAAATTCCAAATGTTTTAATAAGACTAACGTTAGTATTCATATCGTGTAACACACATAATATATATGAAATTAAAGTATAATCAAGTGCTTACATGTGTTCCATGACTTTCAACCGAGAGAGGATCGAAATGTTTTTCCGTCAAATATTGAGCATTTGTAACATACTCTTTTGTGTTTCTCAATATCGGAACTGTCCCATTTGGACATTCGAAGATTTTTCCATATTTGCTTTTAATTTGTTTTTTTGATTTAGAGATTGCAAAAGATGGTTTTAACTGCACAACGAATGTTGTCACACGATAGAGATATGTGATGCGATGGACTAAATCTTATTATTTTTTTCAAATTTTAGACAACAAAATCATGTAATTTAATAACAATATAATAAACAAAGGTAATTTAGATTTTAACTAAGGATGATTTAATTATAAAAACTATGATATTGACATGTCGTGTAATTTGTACGAGAAAAGTTTTGATAAACAAAATACCTGAATTGTGTGGTTTCGGAGTAGTGGATGGCTTAACGAAGGTTGTTTGTAAATATCCACACAATCGTATACCATCTTTTCATTCATCTATAAAAATAACATACGAGAGATAAATATACATCATAAATTAATTAGAAA